AGGGATGCTAAGTTCCTTAGTCACTTTTGGAAGGTACTACGGGAAAAACTAGGAACAAAGCTGCTCTATTCTACTACTTGTCATCCTCAAACCGATGGCCAAACCGAAGTAGTAAATAGATCTCTATCCACTTTGTTAAGGGTACTCCTCAAAGGTAATAAGTAAACTTGGGATAATTGTCTCCCCCATCTAGAATTTGCATACAATAGAATAGTCCATAAGACTACTAATCTTTCAGCCTTTGAAGTTGTTTATGGCTTTAACCCAATAACTCCTCTTGATCTATTACCCCTTCCTAATACCCCTTCTTTGTTTCACAAAGAATGAGTATCTAGGGCGGATTTTATTAAGAAATATCATGAAAAGATCAAGAGCCAAATTGAAAAGAAAACACAAAAATATGCCAAATACAACAACAAAGGAAGAAAGAAAATCACTTTTAAAGTTGGGGATTAGGTTTGGCTTCATTTGAGGAAGGATAGGTTTCCCACTCAAAGGATGTCAAAACTAAACCCTAGGGTAGATGGACCATTCCAAGTCCTTCATAAAATAAATGACAATGCATATAAATTAGACATTCCTTCTGAGTATGGCATTAGCTCATCTTTTAATGTATGTGATCTCACACCATTTTTAGGAGCTGAGGATTTGGATGAAGATTCTAATCTGAGGACAGATGCTTCTCAAGAAGGAGGAGATGATGGAGGACCATCCTTGAGGACACATGTGGGCCCCATCACTAGGTCCATGGCTAGGAGAGTTGAAGAGGAGGAGGGAGCTCACACACCAAGGGACACTCTCCTCATGATCATAGAGTATTAGTTCTCTCCTAAGCCTCATTAGTATAGGGTTTATTTTATTTTCCAATTTTACCCTTGTATTTTGGGGTGTTTAGGACTTAGAATTTATTTTCTTTTATATTTCCCATTTTACCCTTGTATTATGGGGTGCTCTAGATGATTAGGGTTTTAATTTTGGGCTAGGGTGTTAAATTAGGGGGTGACGCATTTTTTTGGTGTTCTTGGACCTATTTTTGGTGTTATAAAGGCTTAGGCCCAAGTGGAGGGCAAAGGTTGCATGGTCTTATCATGCACCTAGATATAGCCAATCTAAACCCAAAGATTCCGTCCTTGGCCACCAAGTTGCATCTAGGGTTCATTTGCATTTCATTTGGAATGCATTTGCCTACTCCAAATGCAACCCTAGATGCCTCCCCTCCTATAAATACCCAACACCCCACACCTTGTAAATACTTTGGAATATATGAATTTGTCTGAGCATTTTTGCCTCAAATCCTCTCCTTAGTCACTAGGTCAATTCGACCTACCTCTCTTATCTCCTCCTTAGAGTGAGTTTAGGGATACCTTGAATGGCCTTCACCTCCACTTAGTGAAGAGAGCCAACTAGAACACCCAAAACACCATCCTCCCAACCTTTCTCCTATTCGCCCAAGACTCCACCTTTCACGCCCACCATCACTTAGCCTCACCCTATCAAACCCCTTCGTCATACCTCCTCGGGTTTGGGGGGGATGTGTACTGGGGAATCAAACACCCCTTCGACCAGTGCACAACCCGGTATTCAACCACAAGGAAAGCTAGATACTCGCCACCACCAAAGCCACGTCACCCTAGGCCAAGCAGCCACCCAGTCACGAAGGCCGAAGGTCGAGTACCAGTTTGGCTAATGCATAACCCGAAAGGGTATTCGGCCAAATACCCCCTATTATTGAAGTCACATTATGTTAATTTTGGTTAGACAATAGAGGTCCACGTCAGCTCAGATTAAGGTATGAAACTCAAATTATTAATCTCTTAATCAAAAAGGCCCACGAGGCCCAAATAAGTCACTATAAATACAATATTGATGGGACAGAAAGGTAGGTATGATTATTTAATAATACAATATTTATTTCTCTGTAATCTGTACCGAATATTGACTTGAGCGTCAGAGTGTCTTTGCAGGTACCCTTCCTTGCTTTCTGGACAAGGATTCGGGAAGTTATCACCTCAGTTTGGAAGAAAATTAAGTGTCAGAGAACATCAACGTAAGAATGTTTCCTAACATGAACAGAGAGGGGAAAAAAAAAACCTGGTGACATGATCATGTCACCCTAAAACTAGTTGATACATTCATTTTAAAATCATTTTCTTTTGTTCTTTTTTCCCTTTACTTAGAATGCTTTGAGCTTTAAAATTGAGTAATATTGACTAAGATTGTGTTCTGTTTTTTTCTTCTGTAAATAAGAGAGCTGAGTGCTTCACGTCACTCTGCGTCGAAGTTTAATGTTGAAAGTATACTCACAATGCAAGGTGCTCTCATGGTATAATCCCAAGATTCAGGAAATGCACTTTCTTTTCTTCTCTGTTGGTTTTCTTGGATAATTTTACATCCTCTCTTTCAGCATATTCCGATATACTTGCTTTTATCGTGTTCTTTATCTGTTATTGTTGCCAATTATCTCTTTACATGTTATATTTTTGGACCGTGGTTCCACTTCTCTTAGTTGATTGCAAATTTAGTACGATGGATAATTCTAAATGTTAAGGTTGGTTCCCATTTTATGAGAATGAGCTTGTCAAAGATGTTCTCTTTGTCATAAGTATAATAATACTTGTTACTGTCCATCTACTGGTGGCTTTTAATCCTTTTTTTTCTGACTGGTATTGTTACTGTATAATGCCCTTTAGTTGACAGCCTTCTGAAAGATGAATGAATGACATTATAAAAATTCCCTTGCTATGTTGCATAAGGGCTTTTAGTGTTGACTTTTAAGATCATATTTATTTAACCTTTTTCAATGTTAAAATTTGTAGACTTGCATAATTGTATTTGTTGTAGACTTTTATACTATAAATGTAATATCCTTGTGCATAAAATATTGTTTTCCCTCCTGAACTTAAGGGGTATCCCCACAAACTTAATACACAAGTTTAAAATTTGACACCAAACCCCTTATCTTTGTTTTTGTTGAAAAAAGAACATTAAAAACATAAGTGTGTGATTAAACAAAATATAGATATTTAAATTAGTAGAAAATCTGCAGTATCACACGTAGAAAAGAGGCAAAAGCTGATTTGATATGAGTTATAAACTCAGTTTTACACACATTAAAATGTTTACAGTAAAGATTTAAATATTAAAATTGGCTAACTCCTTATTAGATAAGCAAATAGCAACATATACCTAAATTGACAAACAAACATCATTTACTTTATAAACGACTTTTAACTAAATTTATAATTAAAATAAAGAACTACGACTTTAAAATATTTAATTATGACAATGAAAAATTCTCAACTTCAATTGAAAATGTTTGTTTCCCCATTATGATGGGTTGAAAATGTTTTCAATTGAAATTTCCTTCCCATTTTTTCATGGATCAAAAGAAAAGCAACATGTACTAATTCAACAACACACAACATAACCTCTACTAGTCTACTTTTTTTGTTGTCTCTCTTTAGTATTCTAACTCCAATGGCACCTCATCATTTGTCCTACAACTAGTATGTGTTTAATCTTTTCTATACTCAATTGGGTCTATATGGCTTGAGAGGAAATGGTAGGTCCTCCCTCTTCTATAACAGTAAGAGAATGAAAGAATACAGAAAAGACAGAATAAAGAACAGAATCAGTGTTTATTGCTCTGCCAAGTGTAGAGTTCCCTTCAAACAATTGTAATACAGTTTTCGTACAACTATTTTTGATGTCCCTTATCTATTTATAGGTCCCAATTTTAAAATTACTACATAGCTATTCTCCCTAGAACTAATTAAACTCTCTTTCTTCTAGCATATACTCATGATTTTTTGTTGAGAATCTGAATCAGCATCTATTATTTGAGTTTATGTCAGATTAATGGAGCATTATTAGAATTTCTACAGTTATGAATTTTAATTATAGGAATTATAGGTGTTATTACACTTTTATGAGTATTTACATTTGTCACTTAGTTTTATGTTTATGAGCAGAATTTGTATCAGCTTTCAATTGTGTTTTGTGTATTTAAAAGGTTACAAGCATGAATAAAAATATATGAGTTTCAGCCTTCTAATTTTTTTGAATTCTAACTAGTGGTATCAAGAGCTTGCTTCTTACAGGCTGTGAGGAAAAGTTTATTGAGCGCTAAACACATTGAGATTGAGTGCAAACACTAAATTGAGTGATTTATTTTTTAAACAATTTTTGGTGCAAAGATGTCTACTTCCACCAATTCACCTGCAATTCTAATGTTTAATGGTGAAAATTATCATATTTGGGCCGTCATGATGAAATTTGTTTTAAGATCTCAAGGCTTATGGAATGTTGTAATTTCTGAAGCTAATCCACCACCATTGAGAGAAAATTCAACCATTGCACAAATCAAAGCTTATGAGGAGGAGAAGTTGAAGAAAGATAAAGTCATCACTTGTCTACATGCAGGACTTGCAGATCATATTTTTACTAAAATCATGGACTTGGAAACACCTAAACAGGTGTGGGACAAGATTCAAGATGAATTTGAAGGCAGTAGTAGAGTCAAATCTGTTAGACTTCTCACATTGAAGAGACAATTTGAATTGATGAAGATGGAGGATAATGAATCTGTTAAAGATTATTTTGGCAGATTAATGGATGTTGTGAACCAAATGCGACTTCTTGGTGAAACATCATCTACAGATCAAAAGGTTGTCGAGAAAATCATGGTTTCAATGCCTGAAAGATTTGAAGCCAAGATTTCTGCAATTGAAGAGTCTTTTGATTTGCAAACTCTCACAATTACTGAATTGACCAGCAAGTTTCACGCACAAGAGCAAAGAGTCTCCATTAGAAGTGATGAAGCTGTTGAAGGTTCCTTTCGAGCAAAGCACAATGGAAGGAATTTTGGAAAGTCATGAACTTTTAATAAGAACAAAGAAAAAGATAAAGGTTCTTCGAGAAAAGGAAATTTTTTGCCTTATTTTCATTGCCAAAGAACCAACCATTCTAAAGAAGATTGTTGGTTTAAAGATAAACCATTTTTTCACTGTAATTTTTGCAATAAAAATGGTCATAGTGAAAAGTATTGCAGATTAAAGAAGAATTAGCCTGAACAACAACTAGAAAAATAGGCAAATGTGATTGAAGAAAAAAATGATGATGAAGATGAGTATTTATTTATGGCATCTCAAGAATTCAATTCACATGAATTGAATACTTGGTTCATTGACAGTGGTTGCACTAGTCACATGACTAAATATTTTTTACCTCCATTGACAAATCAATTGAGTCAAAAGTCAAGATGGGAAATGGTGAAATTGTACAAACCAATGGAGAAGGAACAGTTTCTATTGCAACCAAGAAAGATATGTTAATTGTAAAAGATGTTCTCTACATTCCAAAATTGGATCAAAATGTTCTTAGTGTTCCACAAATGCTAAGGAATGGTTATGAAGTCTCTTTTAAAGAGAATTATTGTTTTATCATGGATGAACATGGTTTAGAGATTGCAAAGATTGAGATGACCAAAAACGGTTTTTATTTGAAATTTGATTTGGTTGAAGATCATGATTTTATTGCTAAAATTGATGAGAGTAATGTTTGGCATGAAAGATTTGGTCACACTTTTATGCAATATGTATTTGATATGACAAATTCCAACAAATGGTATTCAAAGACAGGAGGAGGAGTTAGATTGAATGACAGAAGATCAATTGGCAGACATTTTCACAAAGACACTTCCAAAAGGAAAGTTTGAAAACTTGAGAGGGAAACTTGGAGTTAATAGCTACTGATACAAGGAAGAGTGTTGAGAATCTGAATCAGCATCTATTATTTGAGTTTATTTCAGATTAATGGAGCATTATTAGAATTTTTATGGTTATAAATTTTAATTATAGGAATTATAGGTGCTGTTACACTTTTATGAGTATTTACATTTGTCATTTAGTTTTATGTTTATGAGTAAAATTTGTATCAACTTTCAATTATATTTTGTGTATTTACAAGATTACAAGTATGAATAAAAATATGAGTTTCAGCCTTCAAATTTTTCTGAACTCCAAACATTTTTTTTTCCAATGATGATCTAGTGTATAAAATTTTCTCCACTGATACTTGTCAATAGCGGTGCTGCGAAATTAGATTATCCTCATTTTTTTTTCTTTCTTTGGAGTAAAAGATACTTAATATCTTATCAATTAGTTTTGTTAATTAGTTAATTATGATCTGTCTCTTTGACACAATTTAGTGGACTATATTAATATAAGTCAGTGAAATAAAATTAACATTGTCTTTTAAAAAGTGTATATAAAACTCTTAATGTAATTTTATATTATCTTTTGCTTTGTTTCGATTAATTGAAATCAATTTAATTGTACTTTTAAGACAATGTACTCATTTTCGATTAACACACTTCAAATTTGGAGATTTTTTTACAGATGATGGAAAATAACGAGATATACATTGTACCGTACCCTGAAAACAACTGGCAACATTCCAGGTTGGTAGGCCATCTTATTCTGCTATTACTTTTATTCTATATTGCTTAATGGATTTAAAATTATGTTTTATTATAATTTTTGGCATCGTGTGACATATTTTCATAAAATATTAGTCGTATTCTTTTTAACATTTTTTATTGTGGTTAAGGACATATTTTTTAAACATATAACAAAAGAGCAAAAGTAAAATCAAAAATAATTATGACGAACATCTAAAATAATAAAAAGATAAAGTTTGAAAATTTAATTAAGGAAGAAATTATTGAGAAAACAATTGAAATTTTTAAATTCAAATATTTAAGATATTTTTAAAATTTTAAAAAATATTATTTTCTTATAAGGATGTTATTTAAAATTAAAATATATTGTATTTATTTTAGAAATTTGTTTTCCCTTTTAATATTAAGATATTAGGTCAAGAAATAGATCTTGAGATGGGAAGAACCACTACACTTTTAGAAGAGTCATCATCCTAAGTGAGAAAAGAAGATTATATGAAAAAGAGCTTACTAGTTAGAAAACTTGTGAAGGAGAATTTGCCTAGTTTCACAAGAATACTTGAGTTCAGAGTTTCCAAATTTCACTTGCAAAACTTGTTAAAGGGGTTTCAAGTTTTATTGACAAAACTTGTGAAATACAGTTTTCAAGTTTCACTTACAAAACTCGAACGTAGAGTTTCAAAAATTTTGAGATAATCAATGTTCTTATGAATATAGACATGACTGACCAATCTATATTAGATAAAATTTTAGATAAAATTTTGTGATCTTTCTTTCTTTCTCTACCTTAAGGTGTTTTTGTGTCATCATTGTGCAAAAAGAAAAGTGTCTTTTTGTTCCCAACAAAAACAAACATGAAAGACTAACAACTTGCGAGAGCTGTTTTTTGCCAAGTATTCAACAAAATTACATAGCATGTCAATAAATTGATACATGACAAATCTATTATTTGAAACTGAAATTTTCATTATAATCTAACTAATAGAGTTTGCATAAAGTGCAGCTCAAGTTGGTGAGGTGCATTAATGAATTTTAAAAGTTGAAGGCATGGGTCATACTTAGAACCCTTTCCCTGGAGAAGCAGGAGGGAGGCTTCCATTGAGGAACGAGAAGATCAAGGTCAGAGCTCTTGCTGGTTGCCAGCTTGGAACCTCATGTCCTGCTCCTCTAACGGTAGCAAATGTCACTCCTTTGTATTTCACCACAAATCCTCCAACCTGCATGTGATTATCAGAAGTTGGTCATGTTAAAAAATATAATATATTAATTGGTCTAGAAGAAAACTCAATAATCGGTGTCAAATCATAAATTTGATGTCACAATCTGGCTTTTGATAAGGTTTGAAATTGTAGTCATGGTTACAGTAACTGTTTTGCTGCAATCCTTGATATTACGAATAATTTTGGACAAATGCGAGTTATATATATGGCCATAATTGTGGTTGCAGACCGTTCTCTAAAGCCTTTCTTTTGATGATTAAAATCAATATATGTAATAGTTGACGACTTGACGCAAACACATTCATCTTTATAGAATTTTTCTGTGTGTTTTGTGTACCTCTGAAAATCAAACCGTTCAGCAATATCAATTAATACTAATTGTTCAAAGGCTTGAGTTTCTAACCATGCACAAGTCAACTGTATTTTATTGTGACTGGGAAAGGCTGTGTTGGAGGCAATACTCAAAAACCTTTTAGCTATTCTTTGCGAGTGAAAGGAAATGTTAAACAGGGAGAAATAACGTAAAAATACTTAAAGAATTAATTTATTAATTTTAGTACCTCATTTCCAGAATACCATGCACGCCAAGGAACCTGAATAGGGAGCTTGAGGGTGTTGATTGCATATCTGGAAGATGTGACTGGCACCGCTGCATCAGTATCACCACTGTATAGAATAACACGTCATGTAAATTTAGTCTTGGAATACATAAAACAAAGTTGAAACCTCATTATTGTAATCTAGTGGTTGGGGTAGTGGAGCTTTGTCATTACTCATTACAGAAAGATTTCCAAGGAATCAGAATATGGGTAAGACGTACGTCCTACATGCTAATTCAGAAGGGAAAAAAATGATAACTATACAAGGGTACATTTTAGTTTGTATAGTGTATATGTTGTAACTATGGCGTTCTCATGGTTCTAGCTGCTTCAACTTGTCATAACATTGTTTAATATAAAACTTTAGGGAAATTGAACTTGCCTGTATATCCACAATCCAATGTCACTGCCGATGAGATACTTGATGGCAGGTAGGATGGTAGTAGGGCTGTCGTTCCATTTCATCGAAATATTACTGTTAGTTCTGCAAAATATGATAGATGATTAGTTAGCAATTAACTTAAATAGTAGTGTTTGATCGAGAAAATGAATTTTATTTTCATTTTTTGCTTTGATAAATAATTACAAAAGTCTTTTTTCAGTACACCACAAAAGTTCTCTGAATTGAGATCGAAGGTAGTTGATAACATTCTTCTCACTTTCCCAAATTATTAGGTGTGCTGTGACAGCCAATTTTCCATAATCTCAAGCACTTACTATTACATGTCATGTAAAGATTAATTGGTGAGTTCCAAATTAACTAGTAATTTTTCCTCCCTTAACTACAAATGCACTAGAAACATTCTTTCAATTCAAATAGGTTTATAGTTTTTTTGATTTTCCAAGTTATTGTAGATTACCCGCAGTGGGTCCAGTTTGTGGGTTTTGCATGAAGAGCTAGTTGGACCTCTGGCCTATTAAAATAGGCTTCGCCGTAGTAATCAGAACACGGGTCAAAATCATATACCTGAAATTAAGTGTCAGAGAGTATTGAAAATAAAAATAAACTGAAATGAACAGCGCATGTGATTTCTATGATGATCTGCTCATTTTGGTTCAAAACTGGTGTTACTATTAAAATAAATGAATTTCACATCTATGTACAAGTTTGAATTATTTTTCCCTCAAACAACAATGATGCACATCCGGATATAGGAGTATGTATTACTTACAGAACCAGTTGATCCATTTTTGAGAGAAGGGTCGTGACACAATGGAGCATAGATATTATAGAAGTCCAAGTTTCCTCTCTCAATCGCAGCCATTTCTGTTGCATTGTCACATGCTGCCGTAATGTTTTCAGATGCAAAATCGCAGTACTTCTCAATCAACTCGTGGGTTTCATCCGAGCTCAAAGCATGAGTCCATAAATAATCAGCCATTCCCTTTGAACCTGTAGCTTCATCAATCAATGCATTCCCTATCTGAAAATTTCAGTACAAATTAAGAATTGAAGTTAAAAATGAGATGGTAAGTGGAATGGAAAAAAATAGGCATCATTTGCAGTAGTAGTAGTGGTAGATTTTGAACATACAGCAATGCCTTTGAGGTTAATACTTTGGTGACCGATTTTATTGTTCACCAAAATAGTGTATGCA